TCCCCGGGCCGCCCCGGCCTCCACCGCCCCCGGCCGCCCCGCTCCGCTCCGCCCGCCGCCTCCCGGGGCCGCCCCGGCGGCTGGGGAAACGAAGCCGCGAGTTGGCGTCTTCTGACGGGTTTCAACTCACTCGAGCCGACGTGTGGGCTCCCTACCAACATCATCTGCAGGTGTTGGGCATCTCCTGCATGAACCAGCCCTGCCACAACAGGGCCTCGGCAGGACAGGACAAGTGATGAGGACAAGCTCTCCGTTAATTGGCATGGACTTCACGAGGGACACAAGAATCACCAGAAGATGTTAAGGCAGGGAGAGCTGTCTTCATCCAGTCACCAGGGTTTTGTCCATGCTTTCATTTCTGCACAGTTTTCCTAACTGATAATAAACCACAGTATTTTAGAACATGGTTTTAAAAAGACAGCTTAGGCACCAAATTCTTTCTGGTTCTTTCCACCTACAGGTACCAAAGCGTGTCCTCCTACCATTACAAGAGTTACAGGAGACAGAAATATACACTCTTTTGGCCAACCATGATCACATATGAAACAGCAGTGGGCAACTTCTAGTAACTAAACTGCTACAAACAGGTTTTAGCAGGGCTTTTTTTTACAAGGAAAAATAAACAGAAGCCCTGTAACATACAGTGTTTGATCTGAGACAGGGGATCTAGAAGAGTTCATACAATATGGAGGAACCAACTGCCTATCTCAACCACATGGCCATCTTCCAAAGCACCTTATCTCTCCATCCACTTGTGTTCCACACAAGATCTTAGCCTTTTGTAAGATATGTAACAATGGGACTGGTGACTCCTCTTGCTTAAAATATTAATTTTATCCCTGGAAATCTTTTCTCTTTTGCTTTGTGTGGCAAAACTGATTGATTTTTTCGAGGTAGAGGAAGATGAAAGGAAAGCACTATGTAATCAAGCTCTGTTCAGTGCAATCTCCCTGGTCACACAGTCTGGGATTACAGCTGTGCCTTCCTCATCATCCCTCCTTCTTTCCTCTCTCTCCCTCCTCTTCCCAACCAGAAATGCCCAGCCTATGGGAGATCCATGACAACACATGTCCCCAGCCATAAGGTTCATTTTCAATCCTAGACTGGGGGCTTGGGGGACCCTCTATGTGAGTGTCCATGTGTGTGCCCCCAGCTATCACAGTTAGGAAATGTGATTTTGCCTGTGCTTTTTTCACTGCTGAAGACAAAAGAGGTTCCATCTCCCCCCTAAATGTCAAGTTGTCTCCCTTCCCTCCTCCTTTCCCTCAACACAATTATTAACAACCAGTTAATCATCTTCAGCACATGTGCCTACCTTGCTCTCTCTGTCCCTGAGGTGGGGTGGCCAGCAGCAGGGTAGCGTCAGCTCCTTCCCAGGCTGGAAGCAGGGCTGGAAACCCTTCCCAAGGCCACTGCGGTGGGGCTGGGCCAACAAGGAGCACCTCACAGTTAGGAGGAGGGCAGGAGGTGGTCCAGAGCTGCGGGGCTCTCCTGCCTCTTCCTGCTGGCTGGTCCTCTGCTTACTCAGTCACAGCCCTGGGCTGCAGCAGGGACTGAGCACTCCCCCCAGCAGTCCTGACAGGGAAAAAACAGAAGGATTTCTTGATAGCATAGCATCATTATACCACTTTTCATTCATTTAAAGTATTCAAAGTGCAATTACTTACACAATTTGAGTCAAGGAAACGAGTGTGTAGGGGGAAATGTATCAGCTAATGTGATTCATTAAATAAAGGTGGGTGATATACATCCCTGCGCAGCAGCAAGGATGAGGTGGCTTGAACAGCTCTTAAATAATTAGACAGGTGCTGGTACTCAACATAGGGAAAATACTGTCCACCTCTATTAGAAAGGCATAAATTAGTCTAGGACAGCTCCACACATGGCAAAGGCAATCCTGATTTCCAATTTTGCCTTCTAGACTGGTTTTTGGAACTATTTAATCTAAAAGATATGGTTGGCACAAGTACAAAGAGTGTAGGCTGGACATGAATGAACTGTGCCTGGAAATTAGAAGCAGGCTCTTCACGATTAGAGCAATCAGATTGTAGCAGGAGGAAAAATACCCTTCACTCCTTGAATATGTGGCATACTAAGTATGCTTCAGTCCAGAGTGCTCCATGGCACTTTATGTTCCCATGTCCAGTTGCATTGCTGACTGGAAAATGAGCAACGCGACACCAACGTGCCAACCGAAAGCACGTGATCCGCCTCTCACTTAAAGCTGTTTACTATACAACGAGATACAGCCATTCTATTTTATAAGATCTTTTTTTTTTTTTCATACCAGGTGTCTGACAAGTTCTCATATGCTCTCACTATCTTAATCATCTGTAATTTGAATCATGCTTCAGATGAGTTCTGTTCAGTTCGCAAAGCGTAGGAATTGAGAACATCTTTGCTGCTCTCAGAGAAAGATTTCCCTGGTCAGCAAGACCAAGGGGAAAATATGTTATAAAGAAACTAATCTCCCTCTGTGGTTAGGGTTTAGAACTCGGTTAAGGCTAATTACAGATACAAATAATCTTGCAAATACTTTACAGAGGTTTGAAATCATGAAAACAAAATCCCCAAATGCCATATAATCATCAATAACACAGTGTAGTAAAAGTAGCACTAACACAGCTTCTCAACAAGAACTTAATCAAACATCTTTCCACCTTTCCCCCAGGGGAAGAATTTAGCCCCCAAACCTAGTTATCAAATCCAGAGCATTCTTAATAGCAGGGTGAGAAACGAGTTCCAGAGCCTCACAGCCAAACTTGGGACACTGTGTCATGGACAAGGAGTTAGTCCACTCTGGGTTGTAATCATCTCCTATTTTGTACCCCTGAAAGACGTACCAAAACCCTACCAAATGAGTATTGCTTAACTTTTAAGTTGGCCAGTTGGCTATTTCACTTGGCTAGTGAAATAGTGACAGCTGGCACAAGCAGGCCTTTAGCAGCCTGATCTTCTTATGTTCTTTCTTCCTTTTCTTACATTAAAACAGTTCCAGGCTCTTTCTCCCACAATTTGCATGTAGATGAAATGAATTGTCTTTATTACAAAGCAAGGGACTTCATACCAGTGCAGGAGTGCTCAGGGAACAGCTCGGCAGGAGGCATAATCCATCTAGTCACTGCAGATCATTTTTTTCTCTTGGCTAGCATGTCTTCAGGTTCCACTCCTTCTAAAGAAAGATTATGTTTATCATGAGCAAAGGAATCTTGTAATGCATGAAATCAGACAGAAGCTACACAGCTACTAAGTATTTTAAGGCCAGTTGGGTTGTCCCTTGGTTGTGAAGCAGTCACCTAATACTCAGCTCTCAAGCCTGTTCTTTCAGGTGGCTTGTCTTCACACTCAAAAGGATACAGTCTTTTACTTCAGGAAAAACAATGTATATGGATTGTGCGGAAATAGAAACACAGAAAAGCTGAGCTTTTCAGCAAGGTAAGCTCCAGGGAAATGGTGGTGTTTTAAGACCAATATGTCTTGTCTTCTCTGTGCTTTCACTTCACATGCAATAGGCATCCTCAAAATAACCCCTGCTCCATTCTAGTAGGAAAACAAAGCCTTAAAGAAGAACTGTATACTCTGCCATTTGCTGTTTTGTAAATACCGACTACCTGTCAGAAATAAAATATTCTCCTTGCTCCCTCTTCAGTTAGCATCTTCTATCCCTTCCCGCTGTTTATACTTACCCTTAATCATTATCACAAGCTGCTTCACTGGCCCCTCTGCTTGCCCAGCTGCTCTGTGGAGACTATCACCCTCAGGCTGCCTCAGCCTCTGCCCTCCCTGAAAGCCTCACCTGCATTTCCAGCCGATGCCCCGGCATCTTGCCATAAGAATTCAAGACGCCAGCTTGATTTCCATTCTTTACAGAGATCCACACATGAGCTTGTACCAAGTTTTGCATTATGCATTCTGGAGGGTCAGGCCAGGAACTGATAGGCAAAGGGCATTAACATTTGAAGACATGATGCATTCCCCAGCTGAAGTTTCCTTTCTAAGGTACAGTGTATTAAGGAGAAGTTAATCTACAAGCCCGATGCAGGGCACAAAGCAATCATTAAGCACTCAACAGTGGTTATCCTTCTGAGTACACAAACTACTGCATGTCACTAGAGGCACTAACATGCCCCGCTAGAATATAGCCTTGAATTAGGAAACTACTTTTTGGAATACAAAATATAAAAGCAGCTGCTCAACAAG